GTAAAGTTACTTTTAGAGTAGGCGCACACCGTTGATTTTTCGTCGGCCGATAGTTTAGTCGGGCAGTTGATCAGTATGGGCATGTATGGGAGTGCGCACACTACGCCGATTCGATTTGGCCGATTCTTCATACAATTTAAAATCGGGCACAACTATCGGCCAACTAAAAATCCACAGTGTGCGCCTACTCTTAGATCAGGTACTTGCCCTTATTTTTGAACTAGCGGCCGCCCGCGACTTCGTACGCGTGAATCCCATTTAACTTCTTAGCGGTGGAGTTTCGTAAAATCCTTTCTTAGCGGATGCCTACGTCATTTCATCTACCTGCATGCCTTTCAGCCCGATCCGTCCAGTGGTTTGGGCTGTGCGTTGATAGATCACTAGTCAGTCAGTCAGTCACCTTTGAGTTATATTTATTTATCGACGATCTCAATGTAGAATCTACAATACATTCGGCAACACATAAAGCTTTACTAAATACTGTGTCATCTAATACAGTTTTAATATGAGTAGAGTCCGATTTGCAACAAAAACGTGTAATCTGATGTATTGGTTGGACGAATTCTAAATAGTAAAGTGCCTCAAATCAAATCATTTATTCAGTACTTAAGCGCTTTCCAGGGAACTCATACAAGTTCCAAATATAGCTTGCCTATTCACTCTTTATTAAGAGCTATCTTTCCGCCCGCGGCTTCGCCCGCGTGGAATTTTGTCTGTCACAGAAAAACCTTATCGCGCGCGTCCCTGTTTCAAAAACCGGGATAAACTATCCTATGTCCTTTCCTGGGACTCAAACTATCTCTATGCCAAATATCATCAAAATCGCTTCAGTGGTTTAGGCGTGAAAGCGTGACAGACAGACAGAGTTACTTTCGCATTCATAATAATTTATTAGTATAGATATCACCATCATAATCACATAACCATGTTGTACAAATTCCAACATTATGTGATGGTACTTTTTTTTTATACATAACAAGGCAGGTATTTGACCACAATCGCACCTGATGTTAAGTGGGATGCAGTCTAGGATGGTACATATCCTACATTTAGGACTTTTTAAAAAATAGAGCTCTCAAACCCTTCTGGCCAAATCCTCCAATTGCAAATGGTAAATTGAAAAGGGTCGTCCTCCTGCAGTAGAGTCTAAATAATCTGATGACGATAATTAATTGTAAAAAATTATAGTTTAGTCATTATTAGTATTAAATTAAACGTTGGACTGCTTAACTTGACTTGTAGACGCTTATATCTGTCGCTGTACTGGTAGCACCACTGGGTGCCCACGACACAGGTTATTCCTAGTGTGGGACCCGCAGACAAAGCTATATGTATAATGTTTACCGATTTCATTGTTACTTGTATTTGAAGGTGTATGCGTAAACGGTGTGTTTGCATAAATAAAATATTTGTATATTTGTAATTTAAGTTTTATACATTAAATCAAGCCCAAAGCCTGTGACTTTTACTCGTCCATCTTATTTAGTGAGCTTACTTTTATTTTTTACGAGTCGATGCCAACTTTGAACGGCTTTAAGAAATAACAGAGGAAACTCGCGTGTTGTTTTTGTATAACAGCAATCGTTTTGATCAAATCGGATTTAACTACGCACTAACTCGTTGAGTTTAATTTATTTTTTAGTACTATGGACTATTTCTGAGGTTATTTATAGTCCATTCAGTTGGCTTTTGTTTTTCAACTGGATCATGTTTCGTAATTAAATTGCTTAAGTAGGTAGAATCTAGAATCAGTAGTAATACATTAGTTTGTGTGGCTTATAAAATACTTATTTCCAAAATAAAAGTAGGTAAGTGTGTCAAAAAGGTCCTCGACTTATCGTGATTCGTGACTATGCTACGAGTACGACGCTGATTTTCTTTAATTTATTCGTATGATGCATACGAGTTACTTAAGTAAGTAACGTATGATGAGACTTTTATCTTTTTGCTTTTCCTTACCTAAAGCACCAAGATCTTTATCTTTTAACATGTTAGTTACTATAAAAGTTACAGGAACTTAAAGCTTACATTGTAAGCCTTTATTCCTGAAACTCTTGCCCTTCAACTAAGTTCCACCCATGCTAAGTAGCACAGTACATTTCCAATACATTAACCGCGCCGCGGGTACCGTCCGCAGAATAGCGGGGGGCGTCGCTTGTGTGAGTGAGGCTAAGTAAACGCGAATATAAGTGTACTGCAGTTTCTATATACAAGTCAAACTACGAATATAAGAGGTCAAAAAGGTTAAATTGTTGTACGAAGTATGCCTAGAACACGAATTTGGAACGTGTTACATCATTACATCAATTGCTTAAGAATCTTATTAACTGTTTCAAATATGTTGTTGAAGGCAAAGTTAATTATAATTATGAATCATGCAGCTTGAGGTGTCCCTCGAAGCTTTTTATGATAATTTTGCAATTGGCCTCATAGTCATACTCGTATCATCATCAATTATCTTGGGAATTATTCCAGTTCTTTTATCAGGCTCTAAGTAATAAGGTATTAAATAATAAATTCTTCTTCTTTTAATAACAAATACTTTATTCAGTACATAGGCCCTTTCTAGGACACTTATAATGTAAGGTACACAATAACAACACAAAGAAATATCTAACTATCACACTTCTTCCAGCTCTTTATTTTACGTGAGCAACAAAACATCCTACTTACGATCTCAAGGTTGTATTGTAATAGCAAACGGCAAAAACAATCCCGGAAAGGCTCTCCCAGAGGACTCGCCTCATCTCGAGTTGACAACGGCTGATCTAAGATAAACAAATGACCCCGGTTCGGATCCCAGAGGGTTCATTCTGGATTGGTACACATGGTACATTTGGCTGGCACCTGCTTTGATAGTTGTGTTTGACAAGCAAGTTGAGTTGACAAGCAGCATAAAACACGGGACTATTCCCACCTCTCGTTCCCACCACTGCATCTCCTGTGTAGCCAGGATCTACAGCTTGACCGCCATAAAAACCCAACCAATGAAGGTCAAGTTTGTCCCGGGGGAAAGTTAAACTGTCATTGGACCCGCAACGAAATTAATCAGAAGAATTATTCTTCTTTTGACAAGCGGCACTGTAGATTCGTACCAGAGAGCTTAGTGTGAGGTTACATCCAAACGTCCCATTTCCGCTAGGGACGCTGTACAATCCGTCATACATTTATTGACACTTTTCAATCGACTTCAAAAAAGGAGGAGGTTCTCAATTCGACCCGTATGTTTTTTTTTTTTCTATGTTTGTTACGCGATAACTCCGCCAATTATGAACCGATTTGAACAAATCTTTTTTCTGCGTATAGGTAATACCTCAAGGGTGGTCCCATTTAAATTTAATAACAGAAAAAACAACCCCCAAGGGTGGAAAATTGGGGATGAACTTTTTTATACGCAATATCTCCGCCGATTATAAATCAATTTGAACGATTATTTTTTTCTTGAATAGGTATTATCAAAAGGGTGGTTTCATGCGAATTTGAAGAAAATATTTCACCCCCAAGGGTGGAAAATTGGGGATAAACTTTTTTATACCCAATATTTTCAATTTTTAGTTTTTTTTTTGTGTTCACGCATTTGAAGTCGGTTTTATTTTTTTAAAAAGTTAATTATTTATGCAATCGACATCGAATGCGTTTGACGTAAACTCACACTACGCCTCCAGACCACGGTCCAGACTGCTGGAAGATATTTGGATTAGTTTTTTGAAGATGTGTGTAAGTTTGTTTCTTCGCGCCAAAACTAGTAGACGGATTTTTTAAAATTAGTTAGGCTTTGTTTTATTATATTCTACGAGAACGAAGTTACAGAAGAAAGCCCTCAGCAATCCTATTACTGTTGATAAAATCTTAGTACCTACTTATTTCATCATTAATATTTTAATAACGAATAAGTAATTTAAAATTGTCATTATCAATGGCAGATTAGCAAAAAAATTGTACAGATTTCATACTACTTTTATAGTTGTTGTTGACAACTGCCTCTTAGTGAAAGGCCGCATTATTTGTGTCTTTCGGAAATCGATCCCAAGACTTCAAACTAATACAGTTTCAAAAACCTAAAAGATTTTATATTCTCCTTTGAATACGGCTAATAAAGAAATGGAAGCGAGCCGAGGTCCTGTGGGAGGCATCATGTGTCCGATGGAAGGCATATTTCGGCCGTTTATGCTGCCTGCGTAACGTGGCAGGCTTTGGGGATACGAAAGTATGACGTAAAAGAAGCTTTTGAAGTAGGTATACCTACTCAATTTTCTTTTTTAATGGCCCCANGTTGCACTTGGTTTTTTTGACAAGTATTGTTTTTGAAGGGATTTTATTATCTGGTCAGAGTTCAAAGTTACGAACCTAACAGTGTATATTTTTAAAAACACGCAATCATGGTGATATCGATTTTTGAGAAATTTGTGTTTGTGCCGACCTGAACAAGGATGAAATCATATCCAAAGGATTTCGGATTTGATTAAGACATATTATGTTACAAAGAAATAATTTAGCTTTCTGCTAGTAACCTCCTGAATGACTCGACGACGACTGTTTTATGACTACTGGTAGAAACATGGGCCTTAGTGCTTGTCCCCACGGAAATATTCCGTTTTTTGCAGATCCCCTTTGTGATCCACACAAATATCCCGTTTGTAGTTTCCCACAAAAAAAAACGATCCGTTTGTATTTGTAATTCGAATTTCTAGCACACATTCGTGTTCACACGACCGTTCATTTTTACGGGAACCAGTAGTACAGGATTTTTGTTGTGGGAACTGACGAGGATAGTTTGATGTAGTACTTTATGTACACACGGCCACACTGTTAACTATCCATTTCTGTTTTTGCTCTCGCTCTCATCAAATGGTGATTCTTTGCGATAGAACGAGACGACATGACAGGCAATGGATAGTTAATACTGTTGCCGATGGTACTATCGTCTGTATAACATTTCGGTCTGTTCTTTTCTACAATGCTTGATACATCTCTCTAACAAACCTCTTTCCTTGTTGCAGGTGCGGTCGGTGGTGACGGCGATGACAGCGACGACAAAGAAAAGGAAGAGGAGGCGGAACGCGAGCGACAGGAGGCCATCAAGGAGGCGGAGGACCGCCGCAAGGAGAAGCACCGCAAGATGGAGGAGGAACGCGAGAAGATGCGCCAGGAGATTAGGGATAAGGTCAGTGGATACTTTAAATCAGTGGTTCTTAACCGGTGGTCCGCGGACCACTGGTGGTCCCTGGAGGCATTCCAAGTGGTCCGCGAAGACATCCTAATAAACAAGTGACGTGACATGATGAGTCGAGTCAACATAATGCAAACGGCGCACAGTGGGGAAGAAATCGACCTCGCCTTTCATAGGATTGTGAAAAATTAAAATAAGTGGTCCCTGACAAGACAGAAATTTGGTAAAACGGTCCCTCGTGACTTAAAGGTTAAGAACCACTGCTTTAAATCATCTTCATCATCATTTCAGCCATAGGACGTCCACTGCTGAACATAGGCCTCCCCCAATGACTTCCACATCGCACGGTTGGTAGCGGCCTGCATCAAGCCCTCTTGCTACCTTAAATAAATTTAAATATTAAATAAATAAATATCCTTGGACATTTTACACTGCGCCTCTAGTCCCAAACTAAGCAAAGCTTGTACTAAGGGTACTAGACAACGGCTTAAAGATACTTAAATACTTTTTTATTGTAAATACATACATTTTATACATAGAAAACACCCAGTCCAATAAAAACAAATGTGTTCATCCACACAAATGTTTGTACTGTGCGGGAAACGAACCCGCGGCCTCTACACGAAACGATTGGATACTTTAAGTACGTGTTACAGTAGACCAGTTCCAACTATCCACTGTACATAATTATCAAAAAGATATAAAAAAATGTTTAAAATTACAAGACAAGCAAGGAGGGAAATATTGGATAAACAAAAAGACACAGAAAGTTAGAAAAAATCTAATTAACATTTTGTTGAATATATTAGCCTGATAAATATTGAAGACAACTTCTTGAAAATACAAAACAGAATCAATAAAAACCTAAAACATAGGTCCTTGTACGAATACAATCAAAACCTTATAGTGGAAATATGTAGACAAAATGAAGATGTAAACAAAAACGAAAATAGAAAAGAAACAAAAATAATCATAAAGAAAAAAGTTGAGACAGATAGAAAGAGATAAAAGAGTTACTATTAAGTAGAATCACAAAGGTTTTTTAATGTTTGTAATTTATTCTGAGCAATAATTTTACATATTCCCTTCCTATTCAAGTAAGTAGATTTAATAGGGAAATTCGTGCCACTTATAAAACGTGTCAAACATTCACTTACCTCTAGTTACTCAAAAACTAGGTGAAAACCCTCCGCGCGGTCATCGCAAAAGCGCATAAGTCACAATTACAATGGAATTGCGGCACACACGTCAACAATTAATCCGGTGAGCGAAGTAGGTCGTGCTGAGCGGTTTGAGCGGTCTGAGCACTCTTCTGAGCGTTCGAGCGCCGGGTAATTTGCCGGCAACTCGAGTGCGCTTCACACATCGCGTGTGTATGGTTCTGTCATCGCGCGTGAAAGGTTTTCGGCTTGTTTTTGTTTGGTTTTGGAATTTTGGGATGGTGAGTGCGCGAGTGTTAATTGTTTTGCTTCACACCTAGTTTACAGCGGAATTGCAATAATTTTGATGACGTTATTAAAAATGAACAGAGACCTTCAGCGACTGTGTACTTTTCTTCTTGCTGGCTGGGATTAATTTACAAGGAAACTTAATAAAACTAATAATATTAAGTTTGTCAAGATTCTTTCACTTTTCATCATCTCTCTATTCCTTCTCGGCATGGGAAAAGATAAAATTATCAGTGCCATTACTACATACTCTTTAGTAAAATTAAACTTTGTATTTAGAGAATTGCTAAAGCATCTTTCCCTTACCAATTTTAAAGGTAAGTAAGGGTAATAAATTAAGGTGCTCGTTTATGTTTGACAGTGTCTCATCTTTCCAAATTTTTTAACTAAAATACAAAAAGAAACGAAAAACTAAAGTAACTTACGTTTTGTGGTTACGAAAAACTTAAACACAGGAAAATTTACATAGATTAAACTTAAACAAACTACAAAATGTTATATCCTAGCCCGGTCGAGCTAAAATTTCTTTTGGCCTGAAAACTACCCTCATTACAGCGAGCTTTTTGTTTTTGTTTCTAAAACCGACAAGTTAAGCTTACACGAGCTTGTAAGTTTATGGATTTGATCCTCTTATGTGTTAGTAAAAAAGCAGCTTTGCAATTTTGCACCTGTTTCTACTTACTCGTAGTGTATGTTTATTAATTTACTTTTAAAATTACGTAACTGTATTGAACCTTTCCTGTAAGAACACCATCTTGTCATATTTTAAAGTTTTGTCTAATTACAAGAAGAACAAATACCCAAATTAAAATCATTTAGATATTCATAAAACAGCCTTACAGCACTCTCCTAAAAGGTTAATTCTGAAAAATTTAAATTTTTACACTTACCACAATTTACTCTCAAGACTACAGCGCTATCTCAACGACAAATTAAATAAACTAAAACCACAAAATACTCTTGAACATCTCCCGAAAAATTCCACGCAAAAACAAACCCTAAAACCTTAACAACGTTCAGCAAAAGTGTCACCCAAGTTTACGCAGAAATTCATGTCCAAAACAACTTGAACAAAAAAGGGGTTGCCATTAATCGCGGGAAAAATGCCCCGTCTTAATTTACCCAACAATGCCCACTTGGTTTTTAATTAAATCATCTGAATCTCTTAAACGTTGCGGCGAAAAATTGGACGAGTCTTATCTTGGAATCGGAGCTCTTTGCGAAACTCAAGATTTGTTTGTCACGGTTTTTGAGAAAAGTTTTATTCTGATGCTTTGGTGCAAAATAAAACGTAGGTAATATACCTACTACATACTTATTATAAGCTTAATATATTTTTTGTGACAAGTAATAGAGTACTCGTGGCCATAATAATTTCTTTCTGCTCTAAACGCATTACAAACCGTTTAAAAATTACGAAGACATTGGACCGTCTTTAAATTGTTTGAGTTGTGAGAATATTTGGGACGTAAATGCACTTGTTAATTTTCAGTAACAAACGGTGTAGTTTTGCTAAACAAAATCACGATTAAAAAATACCAACTTTGTGATTTAGCTTTAAGTTAATAGGAACAGCTTATTGAAACAGTTGACAATTTCAGGTATTGTTGTGTAAAATAAAGCCTCTAACAAATTCCAGCGTTTCAAAATAATTTGATTAGCATTAAACTATATCGATATAATTTTCAAGCCGACTATCTGATCCGAAAATCCTCGGACAAAGCCGCACCGCATCGCTTATTAACAGCACTAATTACGCGGCGGGACGGTAAATAAGCTGTTATTCTGATATAATTAACTCCCCCTCCCCACCCCTCTCGGGTTACGGGGCAAGTTAAAAAATGACCGCCCAAAGGGTCCGGTCGTGATGGAGCAGGACACTTTTGTAATAGGAATGTGAAGTTGGTTTGAGACTGCCACTTAAAATTTTCACTTAAGTCGTTATGCTTATGTGAGATATTATTCAATCAAGCAAAACCAAGTGAAGATAACCTATTTCTTGACTATGTTAGGCAGAAAAATTTGGTAGGTACACATAATGTTCTATTTTTCATCCGAATAATAAAATTAGTGTTTGACTAAGGTACCAATAAGTTATGCTCTTGGCTTTCATCCTTGAGTATCTACATTCAATTTTACAGTTAGTTAGGTAGGTACAATGAGTGAAGTCACGGGTAGAAACTAGTTTTCTACCAACAGAATACAAACACTTTCATAGTGTGCTTTAAAGTCTTGAACGCAAATTGTTATTAACAAAATGAAGGAACTATTTATTATTAAAATGAATTGAACACTCACATTTTTATGTACCACAGCCTTAATTGCACTCACGATCAAAAGCTTATTAAGCTCTCAACAAGCCACTACTACCCGAAAACTGGTGCTCAAGATGTTAAACAAATGCAAAGCTTTTAGTGGCTTTTAAGCTCAAGCTTTAAGCTGCTTCAGAGAAATTCTCAGCGTTCATTCATTTTAGAAGTTAGTAATAATTTATTTTAGTATTGTTTTATTCGCATATGCACTTAAATACGAATACTTATTGCACTGTTCTTTTATTAAACCCCTGAGAATCGGTTAGCCGTGAAAATGTAGCTTGTAGACCAAATAACTGGAGAAAAGAAAAGTATGACCGGACTCAAAAAAGATGCATTTAAATTATGCTACTTTTGAAGACAGAATATATTTTAAATAATGTGAATCTAAAATGAGAGCATGTATTCTAGAATCAAACGTTTTTTTTGTTTTCGATAGCTCAATTAAAAGAAGTAATATTACTGTCAATTAAGTATTTTTTGGTGATATTGTTGTAATTACTAGCCGATTCCGTTTGTAACTTAGCCAAAAACCTTGAAACAACAACGAAATCACTCAGCAACAAAGTTCGAACACCAAATTCGCTACATAAAACTTACATAACAGTTTAATCTGTGTGTTTGTTTGTCTACGAGATTAGTGGGGCTGATTGAGCGCGCAAACGATCGGCAAATATTCGCTATATGCTGAGCGGGCAGATAATAAACTACACTATATTAAGAGGGTGTGTGTAATCTAAGAATGTATATTTTGCGAAATTATTCGATGTGTGATTTTGCCTTTACCACTATTTTTATATCAAACGTAATTTGCACCTTTGCTAATCAATGTTATCACTGTAGAGTCTAAAAGCACTGGTTTAATTAGGTACATTCACAACTTATTTAAATAACTTGAAAAAATTTAACTGCCTATCGAGAGGCGACTCTTAACGCTAGAAAATTTTAATAACTACATTCTTAACTGCTACAAGGAAAGTATTGCTAACTAGCTAAATAGCTTATAACTAACTTTGAGGTAGGTTTCGGTCTACTTCAGATATAATATTTTGCGGGATACACGAAAAAACTAACATGGGAGAACTATCAGTTTCTCACAAAAACTTCCATTCCGTATTTCATTCCCCTCGAGTTTTTTTTCGAGAGGTACGAATATGTCCATCAGAACCAATCTGTCTGTAGCCAGAATGCATGAAAATTGGTTTCAGCTGTCAGGTTGAGAACATGCGTAATA